GGGCCGACTCGACGGCACATAACAACAACAACAACATAATGGCTTTTGTAGTTTTAATTAAGCAACTTAACTATCTAATTAGAAAATTTATTGAGTTAATAATATAAGCCATGAACTGTATATTCTCATTTATATTGTAGTGTGTAATATAGCCTAGTGGAAGGAGACACAGAGAATAGGAAAAGCAGGAACTGAACAGTCTAGCCTATTCCAAATCGATTTAGTACCAGAGGGGATGGGAATTCAAGTAAATTAAACTTAGCTGGAAGACTCATTCTGTCCATATTCCAATGAGATATATTCTACATTTTGTATTAAAAAAAAATCAAGATCCTTAAGGATTTATACCATAACAATGAGAAAGAATAAGTAAGGCTTTTCTTTTTTATAAAAAAATTGTGATTTGGGTAAAAGTTTACAGAGCAAATGCATTTTCCATGTAGTAGTTCACATACACTTTTACCACAATGAAACAGCTCCCCTCCCACTTCCTCCCCATAGTTACCTCTTCCCTGTGCCCTTCCCTCCATGCACTCCTGTCCCCTGAGCTGTCTCCCTGTGCATACACAGCCTTTCTATTCTCCCATGACTGTTCTCTCCAAGGAGTGTATCTACCTAGTGTAAATGTTCACTTCATATGCCTGTCTTTTGTTTGGCTGGAAGCCACAGGAGTGGGCTCAACTTGAGACCTAAAGGGCAACCAGGGCCATAGTCAGTGGTTCCATCAGGCTCTATCAGACCAGCAAACCTGGTCCCTTTTTTTTTTTTCCCAAACGATTTTGAGTTTTGTTCCACATTGTTTTCCCACTCTATCCAAGATCTCCTACATAGATCCCCCTCTGAGCGGTTGACAGTGGTAGCCGGGCACCATTTAGTTCTCATGGTCTCACAGTCTTATAGGCTAAGGATCACATGGTATACCAGTCACTTGGACTAAATGTTTCCATGAATCTTTGGTTTTCTTCATTCTTCTTTGCTCTGGATGAGAAGAGACCTATTGTTGCATCTAGATGGCCACTTGCAAGCTTTTAAGATCTCAGTCGCTACTTGCTAAAGTAGGATGTGGAACAATGTTTTGTGTAGTATGTTATGCCATTGAGCTTGATGTCCCCTGAGACAACAGTCCTGAGCCTACAGGTCCAACTCCTCACTCCCTCTGGGTAGCTGGCTGTAGAAGTATGGCTACCTCCCCCCTCACCAAAGGCATTAGGTATGTTTACAAAATAAATTGTACAGTACTAGAGGATACAGGGGAGCTCTGGTAGCGTAGTGCCTAAGGCACTTGACTGCTAACCAGAAGGCTGGTGGTTCAAACCCACCAGCCACTCCTCAGAAGGAAGATGGGGCAATCTACTTCTGTAGTGATACTGCCTCGGAAGCCCAAGGAGGGGTTATTATGAGTTGGGTCTGACTCGATGGCATGTAACAACAGAGGATACAGAGGTGCTCTGGTGGTATAGTGCTAACCATATTTGGCTGCTAACCAAAAAGGTGGCACGTTAATTTACCAGGCACTCCACAGAAGGATGATGAGGCAATCGGCTTCTGTAAAGATTTACAACCTTGTAAACCCTGTAGGGGTCGCTATGAGTCAGAATTGACTCAGTGGCAATAAGTTTGAGAAGATATAGAATGAAAAGCAAGTTTTCTTTTAGTCTATTTTCAGTTTCTTCGACCAACATCGAGAGGTATTCTATGCTTTTTTTGTTTATATATTTAAGAATATGTGAATACGTACACATAAACAATTATATGTTCATTTCAAACTGTTCTGCACCTCTCCTTTCTTTTTTACTTAACAATGTATCCTGCAGACTATTTCTTATTAGTACATATACTAATAGCTTTTTTCACAATTCACTTTTCAAAATTTTGAAATATGGTTACTGAAAAATCTCTGAGCTATCAATGTGTTTGTCAGTATCCCTGATACTTCTATAAGAGAAATGTCATCAGACTATATCTGATGTTGATATTTAATTGGAAAAGCTAGGCTTAGAAGAAAATTATACTGTGATCTATAAAACAAAAAATAAAATGAGATTTTTTATCAGGTTATTATTGTTAGGAGCCATTGAGATGGTTTTGACCTATAGCAACCCTGTGTACAACAGAATGAAACACTGCCCAGTCCTGTGCCATCCTTACAATCGCTGCCTTCCTTGAGCCCGCTGTTGAAGCTGCTGTGTCAATCCATTTCAAGGATCTTTCCATTTTAGTTGACCCTTTACTTTGCCAAGAATGATATCCTTCTCCAGGGACTGGACCCTTCTAACAACATGACCAAAGTATTAGAGATGACTTCTGCCCATTCAGACTTCTAAGGAGCATTCTGGCTATACTTCATCCAAGATGTCCTTCTAGCAGTCCATGGTACACGAAATCTTTTACAGCAAAACCACAATTAAAATGCATCAATTGAATAATTCCTTATTCATTGTTCAGCTCTCACAAGCCTGAGGTTATTAAAAATACCATGGCTTGGGTCACATGCACTGCAGGCCTCAAAGTGGCATCTTTGCTCCTTAACACTTTAAAGAGGTCTTTACAGCAGATTTTCCCAATGTGATTTGTTTGATTACTTGACTGCTGTTTCCATAGGTGTTGATTGTTAATCTACGTAATATGAAATTCTTAACAACTTCAATCTTTTCTCTGTTTCTAATGATGTTGCTTACTGGGCTTTATGGTCAGGAACAATACATAGTGAAAGCTGTAGTCTTTGATCTCCATCAGTAAATGCTTTAACTCTTCTTCACTTACAGCAAGCAAAGTTGTGTTATTTGTATAGTGCAGGTTGTTAATGACTTTTCCTCCAGTCCTCATGCCAAGTTCGTCATATAGTCCAGCTTCACAAATTATTTGCTCAACATACACATACATCAAGGATACAACCTTGAGGGGATTCCGGCAAGATGGCGGACTAGGCAGAAAGACTGCACAGACACTCTTCAACAAACAAAAGGGAAACCAATTAACACAGACAAAGAAGATAATCCTGGACATCTGAGCCTTGAAGGGAAGGATATAGAAGTGGACTAAAGCCCAAATAGCAGAATAATTTGCATGAAAATACCAAAAAAGGAGGCATACGGAGCTGCGGTCTGGCAGCGATCCTGACGGCACAGACAGCTTGGAGATTCCCGAGTGGTGGTAGGACTTAAGAATTAACCTAAAAATCACCCTGCTAGCCAGGGACTGCACGGAGGACTGTGCATGGTGGCTGGGGAACAAA